TGTGTGTGTGTGTGTGTGTGTGTGTGTGTGTGTGTGTGTGTGTGTGTATAAAACTTAAATTGCACAGCCTTAGGGCTGGAAAGGTGGCTCAGTGGTAGAGTGCTTGCCTTGCATGCATGAAGCCCTGGGTTCTATTCTTCAGCACCACATAAGCAGAAAAAGCCAGAAGTGGCACTGTGGCTCAAGTGGTAGAGCGCTAGCCTTGAGTTGAAGAGCTGAGGGACAACGCCCAGGCCCAGAGTTCAGGCCCCATGACCAACAACAACAACAACAAAATTGCACAGCCTTAAGTAGCAATGTTGATGCTTGAGCTTTACAATTGAAAAACCCCAGTAAGAATCCAGATCAATAGGGGAAAGTAGACCATCTCAAGGCAGCTGACAACCCTGAGGATAAAGGGATGATTCTACAGCTTCTGAAGAGAACTAAAACCAACAAAAAGCCATCATGCATGGAATCGGAAGTCAGAAAGGCTCTAGCCTTCTCAACAGCCACCAGACGTTAAGCATACAAAATTAAACATAGGAAAGCAATTTGACTGCTAAGGTATATAATCAAGAATATCAAGGACATGTGACCACACCAACACTTACAAATAAATGTTCATAGCATAAAAGGAAAAAAACTCTCAGATCCATCAAGGGATAAGTGCCTAAAAATAATGATGTAAATCCACATAGTAGATACAAAGTAAGTTCTTTGCTGTTACTTGTACTTGAGAACTCAAGACCTCATACTCTTTTTTTTGTCGGTCATGGATCTTGAACTCTGGGCTTAGGCGCTGTCCCTCAGGTCTTCAGCTCAAGGCTAGCGCTCTACCACTTGAGCCACAGCGCCACCGGTTTTCTGGTGGTTTATTGGAGATAAGAGTCACACGGACTTTTCTTCCTGGGCTGGCTTTGAACCGCGATCCTCAGATCTCAGCCTCCTGAGTAGCTAGGATTACAGGTGTGAGCCACCGGCGCCTGGCGCCTCATACTCTTACTTGGCTTTTTTGCTTAAGACTGGGGCTCTACCACTTGAGCTCTACTTCCAACCTTTTGCTGGTTAGTTGGAGATAAAAGTCTTTTAAATTTGTCTGCATGTCTTATTTGCGTAATGGAGTGGTGGTGGAGGGTAGCACCCTAGAACTCCATGATGGTGACAGTTGCAATTAGGGAAACCTCTCCTGTAGAAGGTGAACCTTAGACAGGAGTTCATCAGGACTGTGAGTACAGCAGTTCTGCCCTCTGAAGGCAAGGCATCTGTCACTCTAGCAGGACCATGGTGGTATTTGGTTAAGGTAGATGTAGGGGTTTTGTGATAGACAGTGCTTAGCACCAAGGGCTGGCTGTTTTGACATAGGGGGAACCCTGAGTTTTCTGTAGGAGTGGAGGATCTGGGCCACTCCTGCCATGACCATTGTCTGGGATTTTTTTTTACATGCTTGAATTTAGGCCTGAGAAGGTAAAAAAAGGCTCTAGACCTCAGAGTGATTCAATGGCAGCTAGCTCTTCTTACCTATGAGAAGCAACAGTCATCCAAACCTCCTGGGAGGTGGGGGGACATAGAACAAAAATACAGGATGAGGCTGATTGCAGAGGTCCAATGCAGATGGGGAAAACAGATCCCAGCAAGCTGGATCAGACCATAAGGTCTCTGGATAGAAGAGACTATTAGAAGTCTCTAAGGCAGAGTTAACAGGATAGCAGAGTTTTGATATGGGACTGAGTACACAGGTGGCTGGGAATGGTCCCTGGAGTCACAGAATACCCGACAGGGAAGCATGTCAGGATTCAAACTCAGTAACACAGCCAGAGGAAGCCAGGCCTGCTGAGCAAAGCTGCCTTCACAGATCAATAGGCAAGGCACAGCTGCTTGGAGTTCTGCCAAAACAAACAAAAAATGCTCCTTTCTCAAACTAGAGTGAATGTGAGAGGCAGCAGCAGAAAATCTAAGATAATATGGACGTGTTGCCTGCCTTAATTCCATCCTCTTAGTAACATCATTTGTGTGGCTGACTTGGTGGGCTGGACTCTGCTATGTAGTCCAGCAATGCCTCCCCATCCCAGGTCGACCCCACAGACACTACTGGTGTTGTTTTTTCATGGTGGCTAAGGCGTTGAACAGAAACCTTAATTAATTAAAATAAACTTTAATTTATTAAAGCTGCCGGAGAGTCAAACTTTGAGTAACAATAGGTTGTCCTGCTAGAAGATTTTTTTTCTGGCACAAACAGAAAGATATCCCAAAGAGCCCTTTTCCCTTCCCTCATGCTAGAGCTTACAATTTTTTCCCCCCAGAGATGAGGACCTAACTCAGAACCTTGTACTGCCAGGCAATTGTTCTTCTACTGAGCTAAATCCCCAACCCCAGAGCTTACAATTTCTAATGTTAATTGCACCTGAAGGAAGAAAGAAGTGGCATGTGGGTATCCTATGAACTTTCTTGATTGCCCTTAGTGATTGCTTGCAGGTGGTGATAGGGGTGCCTGTGGGGTGATTACTGTGGCTTCTAGCTCATGCTCTGTTAATTGCAGTTATATTTCATGCCATCTGAGGGCACTGTTGGAAAGCAGAAAGGGTGGGGAACATGGACACTTGGGAAGCAAGCTGCTCCTGCTCAGGAATCATCCAGGCTTGTTTAAAGTCTAGACAAACAGAGAAATAGAATTTTGCAGGTTTTCTGAGGCAGAGGGGCAGTATATGACAGAAAGAGGTAGTGTTTTGAGAAAATTGGAGGCAAAGCCTGAAGAAATTCCCTCAAAACTCTGGTACAATGTCACAGAAAGTGCCAAATCTCTCCTGAGCCTAAGGGCAGAGAGCCAATGCCTATAAAGACTGCAAAATGAAGAATAAAGAGACCTGCTCTCAACCTCTGCTCCTATTGACAGAGGGACATGGACATTAGCAGGCACTGATGGCTCATGCCTGTAATCTCAACTGTTCAGGAGGCTGAGATCTGAGGATCTTCCTTTGGAAGCCAACCTAAGCAGACAAATCTTGAGATTCTTTTCTCTGAATAATCAGAAAAAAACTGCAACTGGAAGTGTGGCTTATGTGGTAGAGTGCCAGCCATGAGCAAAGAAAAGCTGACCAAGAATATGAGGCTCTAAGTTCAAACTCCAATATGGGGGAAAGAAAAGAAAAAGGATAACATTACTGCAAGAGGACACATACAAAGAACTCAGACAACAAGGTCTGGCTCTAGGCTGAGAGAGTAGTAGGTTGGTGAGGACCAAAGTGGAGCAGGGATTCAGAGAGGGTATTAATCAGACAAACTGGTCACATGTGATGGCAGAGGTACCTTGAAGTCATAGCAGGGGACTTAATACACTCCCAAAATGAAGAGGAAAAGCAATTAGGTGATGCTGAGCATCACCAGCAGGCCAGGAACACTGATAAAATATTTCCTCTAGATTTCAAGTCCTCAATGATAATTTCATTTTCTTTTTCTTTTCTCCTCCCCCCACCTCCCTTTTTTTGTCGGTCATAGGACTTGAACTCAGGGCCTGGGAGTTCCTGAGCTCTTTGTTCAAAGTTAGTGCTCTACCACTTTAAGCCACAGCACCACTTCCGATTTTCTGGTGGTTAATTGGATATAAGAGTCTTACAGACTTTCCAGCCTAGGCTGGCTTTGAACCATGATTCTCAGATCTCAGCCTCCTGAGTAATTAGGATTACAGGTATGAACCAACCACCAGCACTTGGCTGTATGTTTATAATGTGGCCTATTCTCTGTGGACAAATTGATTATCATCTTTTCTAGCAGGTATGATTGTTGCTCTGAAGCCCTACTGATTCTTCTGTACCCAAATATCTATGTTACAAGTTTATATAGACTAATGGTTTTTTATTTTCGTTGGTTAAAGAAGCTAAAGATAAAAAATAGCCATTTTGCTTAATGTTCAAAGCCTCATTGCAATCCCTGTCTGTTAGGTTATTTTGTTTTGTTTTGTTTTGAGGTGGGTTCTCTCTGGGTTACCCAGTCTGGTCTCAAAGTCTTGAACTCAAGTAATCATTTTTCATCAGTCTTCTGAATAGTTGGGATTATGGGTATGTGCCCACATACTTTTACTTTTTTTTTTCCTTCCAGTACTGGGTTTTGAACTCAGCACCTCCTATCTGATAGGCAGGCACTATACAGCAGAGTCACACTTCTATTCCCTCCTTTCTTTCTTTCTACTGGTTATTTGGGGACAGGGCACATGACACCACATCAAGTCTTGCTAACTTTTTAATTTGGTCTGACCTAGACCATGATCTTCATTTCAGCCTCCCACATAGCTGGGATGACAGGAGTGTGAGCTATTGTGCTTTTTTGCCTCGGCTGGCTCCTAATCACCATCCTCTCAATATCACCCTTCTGAGTAGCTAGGATTACAGGCATGAATCAGTGGTGCTCAGATACTTGACATTTTTAAATTAATAATGCACATGTCATCAATAAATGGAGATTGGATGTACTTTTGGATTTTCATGTATAAAATAGTGTCTTTTGGGGGATTATAGATTGTGTCTCTCCTTTCAGAGAATTTAGAACCATTTCTTTTTTCCTTTCTGTCTCTGTTTTTGTCTCTCTGTATCTGTCTCTGTCTCTATCTGTTTATCTGTCTGTCTGCCTGTCTGCCTGCCTGCCCGCAACCTGTCTGTCTGTCTGTCTGTCTGTCTCTCTCTTTTTCTCTCTCTCTCTGTGCCAGTATTGGGGCTTTAACTCAAGGCTAGCATTCTACCACTTGAGCCACAGCTCTACTTTAGGCTTTTTGGTGGCTAATTGTAACTAAGAGTATCATGAACTTTCCTGCCTGTGTTAGCTTTGAACTATGATCCTCACATCTCAGCCTCCTGGGTAGCTAGGATTACAGTTGTGAGCCACTGGTACTTGGCATATTTCTATTTCCTCCTAAAAGTGAAATGAGCCATTTTCTTTGCTCTAATAAACAATTTATAATTACAGTTGTGTTTTATTGCTGTTGGTATAGATGTAAGTGGAAAGTTACTGTGGCTTAAGTGGAAATTTACCTTTAATGTAATTAGCAATGGTCTCTGAAATGATTTCTTCATCGTTAGAAGTTGGGTCCAAGGTACAAATTTTCTCAACTAAATAGTGGTTAATATACTGTGAGCAAAGAACAAAAGAAAATTTATGGGATCATTAGCAAGTCAAAATATAATGCCCAGTTCACCAGTGTACATAATTTCATTTATATATATTTTTTGTCAGTTGTGGGGCTTAAATTCAGAGCATGAGCGATGTCCCTGAACTCTTTTGCTCAAGGCTGACACTCTACCACTTTGAGCCACAGTGCCACTTCCAGTTTTCTGATGGTTAATTGCACATAAACATCTCTCACACTCTTATCTGCCTGGGTTGGCTTTGAACCACAATCCTCAGATCTCAGCCTCCTAAGTAACTAGGATTATAGGTATGAGCCTCAAGTTCCTGGCTTATATACATTTTTAAAAAGGTAAACTGGGCTGGGAAGGTGGCTCAGTGGTAGAACTCTTGCCTTGCATGCATGAGGCCCTGGGTTCGATTCCTCAGCACCACATAAACAAAAAGAAAAAAGCCGGAAGTGGCGCTGTGGCTCAAGTGGTAGAGCGCTAGCCTTGAGCTGAAGAGCTGAGGGACAGTGTCCAGGCCCAGAGTTCAAGCCTCACGACCGGACCCAAAAAACAACAACAACAACAAAAAAACAAAAAAAAAACACCCAGCACAATAAAATAAAATGTATTTAAAAGGTAAACCCACTCTATAAGGATACAAAGGAGCAAAAGAGGGAATTAATATTATTAAAGTATAATTTATATGGCATATCACAACAAAACTCCCACATTGTACAATTAGTATGCACTAATAAAAATGTGAGGGGAAATAATCTATGGTTTTAGAAAATAAAAAGATGATGGTTACCTTTGGAGTTTGTGGGCTGGTGTATGGAGATTTCTGGGAAAAGGGTACAAAGGAGGGCTTTGGGGATGTCAGTATTTTCTTTTGTGAGGATACTAGGGTTTGAACTCAGGGCAGAGCCACAGCTCCACTTCTGGCTTTTTCATGGTTAATTGGACATCAGAGCCTCATGGGCTTTCTGAGCAGGCTGGCTTTGAATTCTCAGATCTTAGCCTCTTGAGGAGCTAGGATTACAGGTGTGAGGTACTAGTACCCAGATAATATTGTATCTTGATCTAGATATGAAAACATAATGTATTTGTACATTTGTATTTGTACACCTGTAGGTTGTACTATTTATGATTTGCATACCTGAATTTATATAGGTTATTATTCAATAAAAAGAGTAATTTAGAAAATAAAAACCACATACAAATTTACAGGCATCCCAATCTGCGAGGTCCTGTGAAAGCTCCAACTCGGGATGAAAGAATAAGATCACTCCTCTCAGGATGTCTTGTACGATGTTTACCCAGATTTCCCACGTCTGTGCCTTGTCTTGAGGAAGGTTGAACACTAACTGAGATTCATGATCATAGAGTATCAGCGACACAAAGTCCATGGAACCAAGCTGTTGGAGGCATTGCTTCAGCTCCTGCAGCATGATCCGGAAGAACAGAATTCCTGCCCGCTGCACTTCCCCTAATCTTTCCATCTCTGGAATAACAGAATGACATCTCACATTGCTGGTCAATCACATACATTAATTTTCAGAGGATTCTGAGCCTAGTATAATACATATTATTATTTTTTTAGGCAAAAAAAAGATTTTGAACAATCTTAACTTCTCTTGACATGAAAACAAAATAGAAATAGAATTATAACCAATGCTCTTAGGAAGGAGGCTTTGAGAAAAGACAAAAACTTGAATCTTATGTAGTTATATATTTATTTTGTGCGCTGGTCCTGGTGCTTGAATTATTCAGGGCAGAGGCTCTCATCTGGCCTTTTTTAACTTAAGGCTGGTATATCATCATTTGAGTTTACCTCTATTTCTAAAAAGTTGGGTTTCAGAGTTAGGCCTTAGTTTGAACCCATCCTCTCACCTTTATGAGTTTTATTGTCTCTTTGAATATCCTGTCCCTCTAGTGAGTAATCCCTACTTCCTTGGTGGGTTGTGACAATTCAACTGGGTGTTGTATGCAATAGTGCTTAGACTCAGAACATTAATAAATGTTCATTTTTTCACTTCATTTCTTGTCTCTTTATCCTTTCTTCTTTGTCCTTTCTCTTTCTCTTTCTCTCTGTCTCTTTGCTTTCTGTCTGTCTGTGTCTCTCTCATATTGGGGTTTGAACTCAGGGCCTGGGTGCTATCCCTTGGCTTTTTTTCCTCAAGGCTGGTGCTTTACTATTTGAACCACAAGTCTACTTCTGGCTTTTTGGTGATTAATTGGAGATAATCATCTCAGATACTTTCTTGCCTGTGCTAGTATTACAGGTATGGCCATCAGTGCCTGGCTTGCTTGCTTTCTTTTTGCTGAGATGGAATCTTTCTATGTTGACCAGGCTGGTCTTGAAATCCCAAGCCAAGTATTCTTCCTGCTTTAGTTTCCCAAATAGCTATGACTACAGGCTGGTACCACCATGTTGTTTTCTCCTTTATCCCATTCTATATAATGGCTAGAAATTTTGCTACTTAATAATGGTACTTGCATGTTCCTGTAATTCACTTCAGTCGAGTTAAGGGTTTCCATGTATTCTTCCAACCCCCTGCTCTAAGTTGGTATTGTGCTAAGAGTAGCCTTGGGGAGATGGAGCTTCAGGAACTGGGACTTATTTGGTCTTGGCTCTGCTGCTTGCTTGCTATTGAGTCTTGGATAAGGCTCTGTGGGCTTAGCTAAAGCTTTTTCTGTAAAATGTGATGTCCTGATTGCTTATTCCTGTGTAATATTGTAGCAAAAGCACCCAAACTTGGGTTTCAAATTCAGCTTTCACCCCTTGTTCCTTCCTTTCTTTGAGCTTTCTTTCCTCTCCTATTGAATGGGCAAGCAACAATTCACCTAAGGAGGTTATGCCAAGGTCATTTGAAAAGATGTATTGAAAGTGCTTGGGGTTGGAAGTGTGGGTCAGGTGGTAGGGCACCTGCTAGTGAGAAAATTGCCAGATACTGAGTTTTAGTCTTGGTCTCAAAAAGAAAGAAAAGAAAGTGTCAGACACAGAGTTCAAGTTCCAGTCTTGGGGGAAAAAGTGCTTACACATGGTAGGAATTTATTAGTGCTAGTTCTTTCTCTGTGTGTGTATGCACGCGCATGTGTGTGCACACACATGCACACATGAACTCTGGTACTGGGACTTAAACTCATGGCCAGAACACTGTCTCTTAGCTTTTTCACTCAAGGCTAGTGCTCTACCATTTGAGCCACAGCTCCTCTCTGGCTTTATTTTGCTGGTTAATTGGAGAGAAGAATCTTATGGACTTTCCTGCCCAGGCTGGCTTTGACCTGCAATTCTGAGACTACAGCATTCTGAGTAGCTAATAATGTAGACATGAGTTAGTGCTATCTAACCTAATGTTAATTCTATCTTGCCTTTATGAGTTTTTCCAGTTCTAAAACAATATGGCTCTAACCAGGATAAAGTAATTCCCTGCCCTTTGCTGTAGTTTACAGCCCATACTTGTCAGGTTAGACCTGGATAATAGGATTTCTTTCATATGGAAAGATCTATATATGGAAAGAATGCATTTCACAAAATGCATCTTTTAGATACAAGAAGCTACAGCAGTAGAGTGCTTGCTAAGCAATCACAAGACCCCAAGTTTCAAACCCCACTGCTTCCGAAAAAGTAAGCAAATGAAAAAGAAAATACATCCCTCATCCCAGTCAGTCTCTGTGATTTCTCCAGAAACCTATTAAACCCATGAATCCAGACTGTCACCACATTCACAATACCTAAGACGAAGTTTTTCTGTGTGTCTCCAGTTAATTCCTCCAGTAGTTCATAGCAGGCAGCTTGGATCATCTTCGTCATTTTCTGTAGATCTTTATATTCTTGAAAAAATAACATTCTTATCTTGCCGATATTAACATCAAGGGTTCCAAGAGCCTCTCCTGTTTTTTCACGAAGTGGAATTACTATATGTGTTTCTCCACAGGCAGAGGCCAATATAACTTCTGAACTGTCTGTACACTTGAAGAGGAAATCTCTGAAACCAATCCCAAACAAACATCAGGGTATTAAACATCAGGCTGATCACAACATCCCACCCAAACATGTGGAATTATTCTATAGCTTGTGTCCATCTCAGCCCACCAGGCCATATATTGCTGTTTCATTTGTATGGAACACTGCACCCCTTGATTTCCAATGCTTTTATCCCTTAGCTGGGCTCAGCTGGATCAAGCTTTATCTGCTCTTCGTGTGTGTGTGTGTGTGTGTGTGTGTGTGTGTGTGTGTGTGTGTGTGTGTGTGTGTGTGTGTGCTGGTTCTGGGACTTGAACTCAAGGCCTGGGTGCTGTCCCTGAGCTTCTTTTGCTGAAGGTCAGAGTTCTACCACTGGAGCCACAGCTCTACTTCTGGTTGTTATTTTTTTTTAGTTTAGTGGAGTCTCATAGACTTTCCTGCCTGGGCTGGCTTTGAATCTGGAACCTTAGATCTCAGCCTCCTGAATAGCTAGGATTACAGGTGTGAACAACCAGCATCTGCCACTTTGTCTGCCCTTTCCTGACTACTCACTCTAAAGTAATATAACGCAAGTCACTCTGCATTATAAGGCTCTGCTTCACTGTCTCTACCATGTACTTATACTATACCTATATGGAGGTCAAATAAGTATAGTATTGGTGTTCTGTTTGCCCATGTTGGTGGAATGCTAGAATGAATGACTGATGCATGCAATTGGTTAGGTTTCCTAGAAGCAAACCCTGAGGCAAAGATGCAAATAATTGATGGAGGGAGTGCTCTCTGGGGATACCTACGAGGGACAGATGCAAGCAGTGTAGGGAACAAGAGAAGACATGCACAAATGTAATTTCAGTCTAGTTCCAGCTTCATCCCAAGAGGGAGATCACAGAAGTCAATTGTACAAAAAAAAAAAAAAAATCTGAGCCGTGCACCGTGGCTCACAGTGGCTCACGCCTGTAATCCTAGCTACTCAGGAAGCTGAGATCTGTGGATCCCGGCTCAAAGCCAGCCCGAGCAGGAAAGTCGGTGAGACTCTTATCTCCAATAAGCCACTAGAAAACCGGAAGTGGAGCTGTGGCTCAAGCGGTAGAGCGTTCGCCTTGAGCTGAAGAGTACAGGGACAGCGCCCAGGCCCAGAGTTCAAGTCCCCAGGACAGACAAAAAACATCTGTCCTACCTGGAGGCAAGGAAGAGTCTCTTACATGCTGGCATTAGTCAGTGTTTTGCTCTACACTGTTTTGGATGTGGGTAGTGATTTGGGGTAGTGGGAGAGTGTTGAGATAACTCTTAGGTACCTACTGGGAAGAGGATCCATCACTCAAGGGTACTCTAGAGAAAGTTACACTGTGAGGAGTTGTTACCTGCAGCAGTACCTACAACAGCCAGCAAGAAAAAAAAAGGCATGTTGGGGATCTGGGCAGAGCATCATCAGCATCTGCTTCAGTGAGAGACAGGTTTTCATGGAACTGATTCTCTAGTTAGAGTTGTTCTGTAGCACCTTTATGCTAGTGATTATAATATATGAGTTATTAAACCTCATAGGATTAGCCAGATTCTGGTGGCTCATTCCTATAATCCTAACTACTCAGGAGGCTGAGATCTGAGATCAAGATTCAAAGGCAGGAAAGTCAATGAGAATCTTGCCTCCACTAAACTACCATGAAACTGGAAGTAGAGCTGTGGCTCAAGTGGTAGAGTGCTAACCTTGAGCAAAAAAAGTTAAGGGACAGTACCCTAGCCCTGAGTTCAAGCCCCAGGACTGGCACAAATGAAAACAAATCCTTCTAGGATGCAAGCAAAGTGACTAAATTTTTTCTGCGTGTTAACTAAAAAATAATAAATAAGATTTTAGAATGAATACTTAGTGTATAATTAGCAAAGAATTAGTATACTACTAAGAGGTAGTATACTAATAAGAGTTATGTCTTTCAGATCTATCTCGTCCTGGGGGATGTGTTCTGAAGTCAGACAAAACAGACATATCTCATACCTGAAGATGCAGGCTTTCCTGGAGATGGTAGGGGGCCTCGTGTGGATTTCTGTTAGACCCTTGTATGGTACAACCATCATGTTGCGTAAAACATAGCCTGCCTCCTGAAAAGAAGAAGAGATTTCATTTGAGAAGGGTAGTCAGAAATCATATTCTCACTGAAGCTTTTTAGGACAGAGAATAAAACTAAGAAAGTTTAGATGTCCTTCAGCTTTAAGAACAGTTACATTGTACACATTCACTACCATTCAGGAACAAGATGTTCCATAGGAAAACATTTTTAAGAGAATTTGATTTTAATGTACAAACATTTTTTAAAATAATTGTGAAAACTGTGGGTATTGATTGCATTTCTGATGTTAAAAGTGCATGCATGGATCATCCATGTAATCCTGTCTATGTGTGAGATGGGGCTTGGGAAGATCATGGTTCAAGGCCACTCCAACCAAAAAATCCACAAGACTCCAGCTCATGGAAGAATCTAGGCATGGTGGCATGCTCAGTTATGGTAATGCCTAAAATAGATGTACCTTGGTGCATATCCAGGAGCAGCAAAAAGTGAGCTAGAGGTATAACTCAGGGGTAAAGCACTTGCCCAGCAAGCAAAAAGCACTGAGTTCAAACCTCTGTACTTGGAGGGAAAAGAAAAGTGCATTGTAGAACGTTCAGAAAATATAGAAAAGCCCATAAAAATTAATATAGTTTCCAGTGATGGCTCTGTCCTCATCACTGCACCCAAACTGTTCTTTATTTACTACACAAAATAATGTGTCATTGTATATAATTGTGCTTTGATCATACCAAAACTTTTCTAGTCAAGCTTATGTTCTTTCATTTTCTTTTTCTTTTTTTCTTTTTTTTGGTCGGTCATGGGGCTTGAGCTCTTCAGCTCAAGGCGAGTGCTCTACCACTTGAGCCACAGCACCACTTCCGGTTTTCTGGTGGAATTGGAGATAATTGGAGTCTCATAGACTTTTCTGCTGGCTTTGAATCATGATCCTCAGATCTCAGCCTCCTGAGTAGCTAGGATTACAGGCGTGAGCCACTGGCACCCGGCTATGTTCTTTCATTTTCAAATTCGTTAGTTAATACCCAGTCTTCATCATCTGCTTCTTGGCAACGATTCAGGGAACAATTATTTTTCTTGACTTGAATATTGGACAACACTTTCTTGTAATTTTCCTCCTACCCCACTAAACATTTCTCATTCTCCTTGTCTCTTCTGTGTGTGTGTATACCAGTTCTGGGGCTTGAACAAAAGGCCTCACACACTCTCACTTGTTTTTTTTTCCTGCTTAAAGCTGGTGCTCTACAACTTTAGCCACACCTCCTATGTCCAGCTTTTTGGTAGCTAGTTAGAGTTAAGACTCACAGACTTTCCTGCATGGCTGTCTTTGAATCATGATCCTCAGATTTCAGCCTCCTGACTTAACTAGGATTATAAGCATGAGTTACCAGATCAATATGGTTTTAGTAGAGATTAGTTTATTTATAAGAAAACAATATTAAGGTGGGCTTTGATGGCTCCTGCTTGTAATCATGGCTACTCAGGAGGCTGAGATCTGAGGATTGAGGTTTAAAGCCAGCCAGGAGAAGGAAAGTCTGAAATTCTTTTCTTTTTTGGGGGGGAGGGCGGGTCTGGTTGTGGGGCCTGAATTCTAGGCCTGGGTGCTGTCCCTCAGCTCTTCAGCTCAAGGCTAGCGCTCTAGCACTTGAGCCACAGTGCCACTTCTGGCTTTTTTCTTTTTGCTTATGTGGTGCTGAGGAATTGAACCCAGTGCCTCATGCATGCAAGGCAAGCGCTCTACCACTGAGCCACCTTCCCAGTCCTGAAACTCTTATCTCCACTAAACTACAAAAAAATAAAATAAAATAAAGCCAGAAGTAGAGTTGTGGCTCAAGTGGTAGAGTGCAATCTTTGACCAAAAGTAGCTCAGGGACAGTGCCCAGGCCCTGAGTTCAAGCCTCAGGTAGGCATAAAAAAAAAAAACAGTATTAATACATTTAATAAACTGGTGTTGGCGGCTCATACCTGTTAATCCTAGCTACTCAAGAGGCTGAGATCTGAGGATATGGGTTCAAAGCCAACCCAGAGAGGAAAGTCTGTGAGATTCTTATCTGCAATTAACCACCAGAAAACAAGAAGCAGAGCTGTGGTTCAAAGTGGTAAAGGGCTAGCCTTGAATGAAAGAGCTCAAGGAAAAGTGCCCAGTCCCTGAGTTCAAGTTCTACAACCAACAACAATGACAAAAAGTACAATCTATAAAAATATTACACCTAACTATAGCAAAAACAAATTTAATTAGGAAAGGTAAAGTGGATTTTTTATAAGTTCTTTAAAAAAAGAGTAACTACTGAAATCAAAGAGAAACTATGACATTAGGCTCCGTATGCTGTCATACGCTGAATGGTGCCTGGAAAATGAACAATAGCTGTGTAAAGTGAAACTTTCTCTTGTCTCCATGATCTTAAATGTGCTAAATGAAGATGTCTTAGTCTGATGTGTGTTATACCAAAACAGAATACCATATACTGGGTAATTTATTTGTTTGTTTGTTTTTGTTGGTTGTGGGGCCTGAACTCTGGGTCTGGGCGCTGTCCCCCAGCTCTTCAGCTGTAGACCAGTGTTCTACCACTTGAGCCTCAGGCCCACTTCCAGCTTTTTCTGCTTATGTGGTGTTGAGGAATCGAACCGAGGGCCTCATGCATGCAAGGCAAGCACTCTACCACTGAGCCACCTTCCCAGCTCCTATACTGAGTAATTTATAAAAAGAAGTTGCTCTTTCAAAAAGTTCTGGGAACTGAGAAGTGTAACATCAAGAGGCTGGCCCCTGACATAGACCCTCTAGCTACATCATCTCATAGTGGAAGATGGAAAGGAGGAAAGGAATTGGGGTCAAACTTGTGACCTCAGCCCTTTCATATTCTGCATTAATCCATTTATGAGAGTAAAGCCTCACAATCTCCTACTAGGTACCACCTCCCTGCATTGCTACATTAAGGATTAAATTTTGAATATACCTTTTTCTTTTTGTTTTTTAGGGAATATATTCTAACCACAGCCCTGGAATAAATGGCATTTGGGCTTCTAGTTTCTTTCTGATTTTCTTTATTTTTTCTTTGTTATTTGGTATACATATACTAGCCTGAAAAATTGTTTTTGAAAATATATTTAAAAAGTAAAGTCTTGTGCTAGTTGTGTATCTCAGCCTAAACCATTAGCCAACTCCAAATAATTCCTTCCTGTTTATCCCCTCTAAAATTTTATACATCTACCACTCTGAATTTTAAACCAGAAACAGAATATAGAAATAAGGGCCTCGGGCTAGGAAAGTGGCTCAGTGGTAGAGCGCTTGCCTTGCATGCATGAGGCCCTGGGTTCGATTCCTCAGCACCACATAAGCAAAAAGAAAAAAGCCAGAAGTGGCGCTGTGGGTAGAGCGCTAGCCTTGAGCTGAAGAACTGAGGGACAGCGCCCAGGCCCAGAGTTCAGGCCCCATGACGGGACCCCCCCCCCCCCAATAAAAAGAAATACGGGGCTCATAATATACCTAAAAATAAGCTTGTTTTTCATTGTACTTTAGTTAGACCAAACATCTATAAATTCATCAAGCCCTTCATTGATTATTCAATAATGAGATAAACACTCTTTGTTGAATCTTTCTGAGAAAAAGCTGTCATCATATTTCCACCTTCATTTACTATGTTGGGAAGTTTCTTACAGTTATTTTAATTTATAGATAATTTTGGGAAAACATATTTTTCAAAAGCAGCCTTCTTGTAAAAAATGTCATAAGATTTTTTATATAAAAAAATCATCTTCAGGCTAAGGTTGTAGTTCAATGGTACATACAGCACTTGCCTAGCACGTGTAAGCCCTGAGTTAAAGCTCTACCTCCACAAGAAAATGAACAAAGTAAATATATGTGCCTTAATAAATTTTTTTTTTTTTTTGTCGGTCATGGGGCTTGAACTCTGGGCCTGGGCGCTGTCCCTCAGCTCTTCAGCTCAAGGTGAGCACTCTACCACTTGAGCTACAGCGCCACTTCCAGTTTTCTGGTGGCTTATTGGAGATAGGAGTCTCACAGTTTCTCCTGCCCGGGCTGGCTTTGAACCATGATCCTCAGATCTCAGCCTCCTGAGTAGCTAGGATTACAGGCATGAGCCACCAGCGCCCAGCTTCCTTAATAAAATTTTATAGTTTGCTTCGTAGAGGGTCTAAAGTGATAGAATAATGTGGAAAGAATGTTCTGGACAGAGTAATGGCATTTTTGAAGTGCCCAAGTTAGCTTTGTATTATGGATGGTTGGAAGTGAAACATTAACGATAGTATTGACTTTTTTTTTCTCTCAATAGTTTCTCCATTTCAAGCAGAAAATCTGTAGAAAACAATGCAATAAGGTAAAACAGAAATCATTTCCTAGCCTTTGATTTTTTTTGCAAGTACTACCATAATTTTTTGTCTTTTTCTCACTTATTTTAACATACAAATGCATACACTGAAGTTCAACTGTAAGAATGAGTTTGACATGCCATTAATCCATAAAGGTCAAAACAATTATTCAATTTTACTTGTATTTCTACTTAGGTAAATAACAGTTCCACGCATTTACAAAAGATACTCCAGAAAAAAAAACAGTATTTATTATTGTCACTTAATTTCTTTTTATAACAATTTTTATTGTGATTAAGTGATTACATAAATTTCACAAATTTCACAGTATTGTGGGATAGTGATTCTTAGTTAAAGTCACAAACACATTCTAAACTTCATAGGGCAAATTGTCTTTATTGTGCTCTATAAAGTTTATGGTTCTATGAGCTTTGGCAATACAGCTATTTCTTCCACATCGGGTGATATGTACATTTCTTTCCTTTTGCTTAGTGTCAGCTGTTCCCTCTTTCCTTGTCATTCCCTCCCTCCCATTGCTGTTTACTTTGTTGTATCTCCTTACGTTTTGGATTTAACATCCACTTATCAGGGAGACCATGTGCATTTGTCTCTTTGCTCCTGGCTTACCTCCCTCAACATGATTTTTTCTAGTTCCATCCATTTCCCTGTGAATGCCATTATTTTGTCCTTTCTAATGGCTGCATAATATTC